AATAAGCTACAGAATCTGTGGAATGGATATGCATAATCTGGCAGTCGTTGGAAATCACACAATACTACCCATTGCAAGACGCCTAATGTCCAAGGTGTTTACCTGTACAGGGTTCGTTTGGGACTTTGATTGGATTTAGTCAAAAAGCTGAGGCCCATCATTGTACCAGATCAAATTTGCAAGACATTTCAGCTGAAAGGGCCCTGAATATATTCTAGCCAAATCTCTTCAAAGGCCGCTATGGTTACCACTGTGTCAGTTTTGCCAGATGCAATGCAAATTTCAGCTGATAAACAAACTGGCTGCTAACCTGGAGCAGCCCGTGAAAAGGCACCTAGGAACCGGGATTTAAATGAAAAGGTTATTAATCCAGTGTGTGGTGAGAGGAAATGTAGAATCAGTTATGTTTCCCTCCCAGTAGCAATAAAAGATTAAAAGGTATGCGATGGCTGGGAATCGAACCCAGGTCGACTGCTTGGAAGGCAGCTATGCTCACCACTATACCACCATCGCAACAAAAAGTAAGTATTTACGCAGACACTATCGTCTGTGAGAACAATCTCTCATCTGGAGTTGGGAGACTTTATAAACGGACTTAATATTAAGGCTATTTTGCAAAACCCCTGTGCTGCAGGTTTTGCTTTTCAGGGAAGCATTTTTTACGTGTCAATGTATATAACCTTGAAGCAGCGGAAGTGCGTGACCGTATTATTTTCCAAATACAATTTGGGACAGCCAGGATTCAAACCTGGCTCAACTGGTTGGCAAGCAGCTATGCTCACCCCTATAACACCATCGCAAAACAAAGTACATAGTTTCACTGAAAATTCTTCTCTGCAAGAAGATATTCAAAATGAATGAAGCAGCCATGTTGATAAAAATGGACTTAGAGATAACCCAAATTACATAAGCAAAATTTGTTTGGATTAAACCCCGAAATAGTCAAAACCTTTGTCTTGCTTTAAATTTCCAACAAAACTCCATCTTCAGTGGCCTAGAATCTAAACCGGCCAAACATTTTAGTCAGCCAAAAGTCGGGGTTGTTGAGGGAGACACTCAGTTGTTCGGGCCTAGACATAAACCTTCCCTTCTTGATCAAGTTTTTATTTACAAGTACCTTAAAATACCCCATATCNACGTAGCAATCAACTTGTCTGACTAGTACTGTGCCACCTGATTTTCACAAGTAAGATTTATAAATTCCCATGTCTATCATACATCTAATCATTGCCAGTAGATTGCTGTCCAGCATTGTACAACTCCAATGAATTTAAAGAAATGCTAAAGGAACTCAGAATAAGCTACAGAATCTGTGGAATGGATATGCATAATCTGGCAGTCGTTGGAAATCACACAATACACCCTACAAAAGGCTTGGTGCGTTCTTTGATGTATGATTTTCAATTTGACTTTTTATGTTTTGTAATCCTTTCTTGATTTAAAAAAGCTTTTCATTTATTTATTGCATATGGAAAATACCTTATAAATGTAATAACATGGTGCTGTGCATCTTTGATCTTTCATGCTCTTTGATAAACAAGTCATCTTAAATCATAATTCTTTTTCTATGTTTATTGTGTTGGCACGCTTTTAACCCTACATGTGTATGGAGTGTGTGAGTCCGAATGTAGGTGTGTGTGTGCGTGAATGTGTGTGTGTATGAGTGTGTGTGATCGTGGAGGAAACCCGGGGGGCCATGGGCGCGTGCACGTCCACATATCCGTGTCAGTAGGTGGAGATCAGGCAAACCACGCGAGGGTGGACAATAATAACGTTTTCTGATCGGCTTTGGGGCATTGATACTCAACTACGTCAAGGCGGAATATCGACAAAACAACCGGAAACTAATCCTGCAAAGTAATGTATCTTTGTATATATATATTAAGCGCCAAATGAGTAAGAAATGACACAAACGTGACTGCAGCAGATTATTTAGATGCATTATTTGCTCCATAATCCAAACAATGAGCAGAAGATTGAGGTGCTCTGGTAGTAATTCTGCCAGTGAACGGAAACGGAGCGCTGCGCTGCGGCTAGCTTCACTGCTGGTCCTCAGAAAGAGGAAAGGATGTGACTCGCGCCTCATCTGCCCAGAAGCGACGCTGTTTGCGTGTTCCATTCTACCTTCGACATGGAACCTGTTGGAAATTAACGCGAGCCTCCCCTCCTCGAGCCCTTCTTCTGATCAGTGGAGGATGATTCACCGGCAGGTTCTGTTATCCCAGGTAAGCTGTCTCCATTGTTGCTGTACGCCTGTCATGTCACAGCGTCCAGGAGCGGCCCTGCGCTCCATCACCCGCATACTTGCCGTTCTGTGCTGAGAGGAGGATGCTCTGCTCTGAATCCTGCCGTTAACAGGATACAGCAGGAAATGACTCAATTACTGCCTGTTTAATATAAAGACCATTTAATACAAAGCGACAAGTAAGCAAAGCAAGTAAGGAAATTATATTTTATAATCAGACTAGAACATATTACAACCAAATTTGATTTTCCTGCTGCTTAAGGTTCAACATTAGACATGAAAAGTTCGCATTATATCAAGCCACAGAATGCCATTTAAGTCACCTGATCTGATACTAGTCATCCAGGTCATGAGGCTGAGAAAACACGAAGTCATGCTGTGTGTGAAACGTTCAGATGTGCCAGTACACTGAGCGCACATTTCAGCTTAATTCGTGAATTCGTGTTTTCTACGCTGGAGATACTGCCCTAGTTTCTCCTGATTTGAGGTTTACTAGGAGTTTAGGGAGAGGCTTCCCCTTCCCTCATTGTGTGGGGATTCCCATTGTCAAAATCCTCTTAAATACTTGAGCATTACGTATAGTTTTTGGCACTGTGCCCTAATACATTGACAATTAGTGGCATGTTAAAAAAAAAACATTACATTTAAACATCTGTAGCTTTTGTTCATGTGGGGAAAGTACATTCTCTTTTAGTTCTACTGTTGTTCATATCAGGACATAATACATTTGATCAGGATTTTTTTATTGGTTCTAAAATGATTTAAATAAGTGTACAGACACATACTCAAGTGTCCACACTGCTGTGATCTTTTAAACAAAGATGAAGCTAAAAGGAAAAGACTGCATTTAAAAGCCAAGTCCACTATCATTACTTACATAAAGTTTAAGAGGAAAAGTGGCAGCTAGGTGCTGATGGGTAATTCCACTTTCATTAAATGATCATCATATTTGTTACCATAAAAGCAGGAGTTAACACAATGCCAGGCAAAGACATCAGCAATGACCAAAAAGCTATTGTTGCTGCCCATCAGTCTAAGAATTTCCCCCCAAAAATGAAGTCTATCAGTCTGCAGGAGGGGGAAGTTATTCACAAGTGCAAAACATTTAGGACATTTGCCAATCTTCCAAATGTTCCAGCAAGAAAATAAAGGAGTTCCATCACATTACACTACATATCAACAAAAACACAATAAAGCAACTGTCAAACGCAGTGATGGGGAGGTTATGATCTGGGCCTGTTTTGCCAATAGACCTGTGCACATTGCAGCCACTGAGTCAGCCATAAACTCATCTGTACCAAATGTGGGGAAATTTTTTGGTTCAGACTATGTCCTGAAAACAGGAGAATGATCACAAACAGAGCAGCAAATCTACAGGAGAATGGCTGGGATAGAAAGCAATCATGGTTCTTTAATGCCCCAGTCATCCTTAACTTGACTGAAATGCTCAGGTGGGACCTTTAGAGAGTTGAGAAGAAACAAAGTCTCATAAACATCGATGAAATGAAACAATGTTGGAAAGGAAAATTATCCAAAATCATTCTATAATGAAATGAGAGCCCGAGTACTCAGCCAAGTACTGAGACATTGCTGCTAATGGTGATTCTATAAGCTATTGTATTATGTAGGTTATTACATACAAGCTTTCCGTTTTTGCTTCATATTTATTTAGTTCTGTCTGTTTGTGTACACTTCAGGTTTGATATAATAACTTTGGAACCTAGTAAAGACTGTCCTGATGGATAAAACCAACAAATCAAAAGAAGGGGTACTTTCTTTTTTTCACGAGTGTATTTTCTAAATTGCATTGGCATATTGTTGATCTAAAGGATCAGACCGTTTTTCTTCCAGCTACAGCACTTAGTTTTACCTCAGTGAAAACACACAGAAATTGTTCAACATTTTTTAATAAACAATGGGAGCCAGCAGCTGTATCCTGATAAAAGATGCAATTAGGAAGGAGATAAGGACTGTTCCTCCAACACCTCAACATGAAAACCTGCTACCGGATTGTGTGTGGTTCTTAGCTTTTATTCAGGTTTCCGTAAGTAACTGGATGCCCATGTCTGCTGTACAACAGTGTGCTCAGTGTGTTAAACACGGTTTGTCAGAGCTGGCTGCTGAAGCAGCTTGTGGGCTGGTGAGTAACTCCTTTCACAGCCTCAGAGCTGGATCAGGCCAGACCGACACCATATTTGGCTGAGGTATTTGTTGGTGTTGGTTTGAAGTCCTAGCAGAGAAATATGTTGGAGTGAATGTAAAAATGTATTTAAGAGACATGTTAGGAGGCTGAAATATCTAAAGAAACAACAGTAAATGACTGATAATCGAAAGGGTTGGAGGTACAGTATTCATGCAGTGTTTACCTGCAATTAAGGCTCTGAGGTTTGAAAATCCTTCTTATTCATGCAGTTTGGATGCCCACCTAACTTCATGAGAGAGCATGTTAGTAAGCGGCAGCCTAATTACCCTTTATCACTTCCCTTTATGGCCACATAAAGCCATGCAACCTAAACAAAGACAGGACACTAAAGATAATTGTTATGGTTTGCTTGATATTGGACCCCAAGATGCAGACGAACAGGCATCGTGACGGTAAGTGCAAAAAGGTTTAATTAGAAAACTCACACTCAGCAGGAACAAAACAAACGGGCAGGCAAGACAG